CCTTCCCATCTTTTGATTCTTGATTTAGTTTTTTGTTTGGAAGTGCTCTTCATTTCATTCCCATGAAGACCGAGGCAAAGTTTTTGTTTAAACTCCTCTGCCATTTCCCCATTGTATCCCCAGCCTCATTTTCTAAGGGAACTACGTTCACTTTGGGCTCACTTTTCCTTTTGGTATATTTAAAGAAGTCTTTTCTGTCTGTTTTCAGGCTACCAGCTAGGTTACCTTCAAAGTTTAGTTTAATATGCTAAGATGTGGAAACAGGTGTAGGCCATTCAGCATATTGAGTCTGCTCCTCCATTCAATGAGATCATGGCTGATCTGATAACATTCAACTGCACTTTCCTGCCTTTTCCCTTTAACCAGCAGATTCTGTTACGGTTTAAAAATCTGAACATCTGAATCACTTCCATACCAGTACTCATGCCAGCATTCTATGAAATGAAACCACAATGCTAATTATGCTGTCCCCTACCACTACTATGTTCCTATTTCTTCCCCTCACCTGAATGGTTCCCTGTACCATGGTGCCTTAGTCACTTCTCTCATCCTCCCTGCAGTCCCTGCCGTCTTCCATACAACTTGGAAGAATTCTGTACTGTTGAGAGATTTGCAAAGGCAGAGGCTCCTCAAAAGCTACTCCTTATCTTGTGTCATATGTCTGAATAGGTTGATTAAAAATATTCTTGAACCAGGGATCGCGTTTAAAAATAAGCAGTCAGTCACAAAGCAGAGATGACAGCGAATATTTCTCTCAGAAGGTCGTAAACCTTCGGACCTCTCTTCCCGAGAAAGGTAATGGAAGCAGTGTCTTGCAATATTTTTAAGCTGTAGTGAATAGATTTTAGGCGAGCAAGCAAATGGATGGGAATTTAGATTTGTAGTTACAATAAAATCAGTCACTTTCCTTGATCCTGTATTTAAAGATTTCCCACTGTTCTTCCATTTCATTAGCACATTGACATGTCAGGGATAGGACTTCCTTTAGGCTTTAAGTCAATCACATTATACATACGTCTTTGGATGTGCCTTCCTTTCTCCATTGCTGGCAATCTCATACCGCTTCTCTAGTGGTAATATTTTTTATTTAAATAACAGGACAAGGATGCTCACCACACACCTAACACTCCTTTTTCAATCAGCAGGGTGAAAGAACTGGCAGGCTTCTGGATTGGCATATTAAGCACTGTGCAGATCTTTACACTTGAGATCAGAGAACAGAGCCTAGAGTATCAAAAGCCAACTGTTATCAAATTCATTAATTTTAAGAAGGTTTTCGACAGCATCACTCTGGTATACCACAAGACAGTACAACATTCGGCAACTTCAAGTACTGTATTAAGACCAGTACTGCTACCACAAACTCCAACAAAGGAGTACAGGCAGTTTGCATACTCTTCCCTATTCTTTTCCTCTTGGTTGTTGATTTCATCATGAGGATGATAATGCTGGGCGCAGACTTTTGCATCATTTTGATAACCGATTTAACAAATGACAACAACTTGCCAAAGAACAGCGCACATTCCAGGTCTATCAAAATGATGCCAAAGTCAGCACGCACCACCAGTTTTGAGAAACAGAAGAGAACTGTGAAGGTGTCATGCAATTTAGATGTCTTACATCAGTATCACTTACAAGCAAGATCTCGGGCACTACTTGGACAGACATGATCAAAGAGTAAGTGCTGTATAGGACTGGTCAGAAGTGTCTACAGGATATCATGGCAGAGAGATAACCAAGACTGGCTGGACATTTATTTCACCTCCTTGACTACGCCCTTCCACAGTGATGGTCAAATGGACACCACCATGGGGGAGGCAACAACTTAGTGGTATTACCACTGGTCAGTTAATTTAGAGACCAAGGTAATGTTCTGGGGTCCTAGGTTTGAATCCCAACACAGCAGATGGTGGAATTTGAATTCAATTTTAAAAATCTGCAATTAATAGTCTAACGATGATCACAAATCCATTGTCGATTGTTGGAAAAACCCATCTGGTCTACTGATGTCCTTTAGGGAAGGAAACTGCCATTCTTACCTGGTCTGGCCTACATGCTACTCCAGAACCGCAGCAATGTGGTTCACTCTTAACTGACCTCTGGACAATTAAGGATGGGCAATAAATGCCAACCTCACCAGCGATGTCCTCATCCCATGAATAAATAAAACCAAAACAGAAAATGAAGACACTACCAGCCAGAGGGGGCCTGGAGAATCACATTTAAAGATAATTGTAAGAGCAGGACCTGGACTGCAACAAGAGCGAGTACGATGGACCGGTGCCACTGGCAGAGTCTTGCAGAGGAAAAACTAAAGTCCAAGTTTATCAAATCTCCTCTCAGCCTTTTTTCTCCAAGAAAAACAGCCCTAACTTTACCAATATATCTTTCTAACTCAAGTTCCTAAACCTGAAAAGCATTCTCCTGAACCATTCTCCTTGCTCTGGAACACCTTAAAATCCTTCTGAAACTGTGGCATCCAAACTTGCGCACTCTACTCCAGTTCCAATGTTTTGTATAAGTTCAACAAAATCCTCACTCTTGTACTCTATGCCCTATTATAAAGACAAGGGCACTGTATGCTGCATTAACTGCACTCTCAACCTGCCCTGGCACCTTCAAAGAATTACGTACTTATACACCCAGGTTCCTCAGATCCTGCACCCCTGCAGAATTTTGCCATTTACTTTATATGATTTCTAATATGCCTGTGCAATCACAATGCAATTGACACAAGTTAAAACAGAATTATTGCTCCAATCAGCTCAGTAGCAGCAGTGTGTACTATCTACAAGATGCACTGCAGAAATTCACCAAAGATCCTCAGACAGCATCTTCCAAACCCACGACCACTTCCACCTAGAAGGACAAGGGCAGCAGATATACGGGAACACCAACACCTCCAAGTTCCCCTCCAAGTCACTCATCCTGACTTTGGATATATATCGCCGTCCCTTCGCTGTCGCTGGGTCAAAATCCTGGAACTCCCTCCCTAATAGCACCGTGGGTCAACCCACAGCTGGAGGACTGCAGCAGTTCAAGAAGGCAGCTCACCACCACCTTCTCAACGGCAACTAGGTATGGGCAAGAAATGCTGGCCAGCCAGCAGCGCCCACATCCCACAAATGAAAAAAAAATCAATTAGAACTCTGAAGTCCCAGTCACTGATTCTTCTGGTTATCTCCCTTTTATTGGTTTTGATCAAGCTGTAGAGAAATGTACTGTAACATTTTTTTTTATCTTGTCCAATACAATGTAGAGTCAGTGGACATTTTCCCACTGAAAGTTTTAATTTGAGCCCTCAAAAACTTTATAAACAATACCTGAAAATGAGAATGATTCACTAATCTAAGCTGCTTGTTTGCTGAAGTTCTTTTAATAGTTAAAGGTGTAATTAAGCCATTCTCCTGAAAGTGCACCATTTGATGCTGGCATATCAAAGCATCAGATTTAGTGGAACGCACATGGGCCTCCCCGTGGAGAGATGGACATGCACGTGAGGGAAATTGCAGTTTAAAAAGCAGATAAAGACTTGAACCAATTCAAATCCGTTAAGAACTTGCGTTGGATTTCCATCCACACCTGCAAATCTAGCTTTTAAAAAAGGGAAAATAGAACAGCAACAGAATATACACAAATTTCTATTGGGCCATGTCTTTGTCAAGTAAAAAAAATACATTTGTACACAGCAACAACTCTTCAGTGTCAGAAATATTACACTGACAAAGTAATGATGGAGGTGAAGCAAGTGAGGGCACATCATTATATGAGCATCAAACAAAAAAGTATCAGTTTAGAGTTAGGCACATGTGGCAATTCTTCAGAATGAAGAAGTAGTAACAAGTTTGGTGGTGAATAAAACTCCATTGTAGGACTCATGCCATGCTGCAGGCACAAGTGCTTGTCCATCTTATGTCTTCCCCGTGGAGCCAGCTGTGCTGTATGGTACAAAGCTATCCACAGAAAGCGATTACTTGCATTCTATCGCTGAACATACTGTTTTTATCAATTAGTAGTATAACAATCTGCACCAGCAAGAGGTTAAATTTTAACTCTGCAATCTTTTATTTTTCCCCCATTGATTCACACTGTGGGTGTTGCTAACTAGACCTGCATTTATTTTGGATCCCTAATTGCCTTTATGAAGAACCTTTTTCATTGTAGTCCATTAATATAGGGAAAACCCAAAGTGGATCAAAATAAAATTGCTCATGCTTTCTAATTAACATCCAAAATACACAGGGATATTAGACAAATTTGCGCCCAAAAGACCCCAAAACGTCTAGGAATGTTAAATTAACCAAAGAAAAATCACCTCTACAAATAGAACTGTCAGAATCTCCAGAAGCTGGTTCTCCAATCCTGGTTGTTTCTTTCTCTCATTTGTTGCTGATAGGCTCAGAGGGAACTGGGAGGCAAAAAAAGAGGGATTGCATAGGGATAGAGTGGAGAAGAGGGACTTATAGGGAGAGCAGTTTTACAATAAAGAAATGCTCAGCT